GAATAAGAACGCTCTTGTTCTTAGATGATAACAAGACAGAGGGCAGCTACATAAAACCAAGTCTGATTCTGTGACCTTGAATAGTGTGTCCTTTTCATTGATCACTCATCCGCCGATCTTTTCTTGGATTTGAAGTTCTGCCTCCATTTCGTTTCATTCCTGTCTCAGCTCGTGGTGGGGAAGCTGAGGAAAATTCTACACTGAATTTTGATACTCTGGAATTGTATCTCCATATACCTGCTGTATCCATTGGAGCGACTGTCTCATCATTTACTTCCAATTGTTCTGGCCTCGAGACCTACATAGTTGGGAAACAAGTGATATAATTGTGCGGTAAATCAACACTGTAGTACCTACCATCGCTTGATGCTCTGTGTCTCTGTTTTGATGAACAAGTGCGCCCTGTGGGTTGGCTAGAGACACTACCGGCACATCTTTTTCTTTGGAGAACTGTTGGTCTTGAGAGGTATCTCTCTCTGGTATGCCCATCACCTGTGTCACTAGAACATGTGTGTGTATTTAAAGAGTACAGTTAAACATTATTAATCACCATGCAAGGCATTCTTGGTGAGCGAATCAGTTTTTTTCGTGTTTACATATAACATTACGGTATGTGAGTGCAGGTCACAACAAATTATACACCCTGCATTCAGAAACCTTGTACATGTTCTCAGTACTCGGTCAAGCTCTAACCTATACATCGTCTACCACACACAACACACATCCCACAAGGTTGCATGAGAGCAACCAAGAATACCTCGATCAGAAGGTGAAGGAAGTCCAAAGTGTTGCTCGATATCTCTGGCAAGAGGGCTCAGCTGGACATCTCTGAAACACAGGGCCAGTTTCTTCCAGGAGTAGTCCTCATTTTCTTGTATCCATCTTTCATATATCATCCTGACAGCCTTAACTGGATTACTGAGTGCAGTTTGTTGTATACTTGTGACTATTGCCCCAGTGTCATCTTTCAGAAGGATGGTTCCAATGTCTCGGTATCTCATTGCACTTCTTTCCAAGATGCTTATGCGTAGCCCTTTAGAAGTTGATAGCTCCCCGACTACCAGCCTATGGACTTTGACCAGGAGAACTAATGATTGCTGTGATAAACATTAATTTTTACAATCCAATTTGCATGCTCCCAAACCCCAGGGCAAAACTGATGTATAATTCACGCCACTTGTTGCATAATCGTGTCGCTCATTAGGATTTTTCCTGATTTGTGCACTGCTGGCAGCACTTGAAAATAGTCATAATCACATGACTCACATTGATCACTACGACTGTAATAGTCTACAAACATCCACGAAACAACCAAAAATAATCCTAATTTCTTGCACATGAACTTGGCAGGTTTAATTTTGCCTGCAGAAAAAGTCTGTCTATCATGGCTCTCTGCAACATACTCTGCGGAGCTGAGCGAGCTTCTGATATCGGCTGCCAAGTTTTTAAAGTCAAAATCTTCCAGTATCTCTATTAAATGGCCCAAGTAACTGGCTGGAATCCATTGCCTTAATGTGGCTCTACAGCGGTATTAAACCTTATAGCCTTTATTTGTTCGTCTGCCCCATCCATTAAAGTCGAGGTTTCCAATGTCTTGCCACCTTGTTTTGATCTTTCTTGGACCTGGTAGCCACCATGCCCTTAGTTGGGCTAAGCGACGTCGATATAAATCATTACTTCACCCAAAATTTGAGTGCTAAATTGTGTATATTATACACATGTGTTTGATTGGGAGATTGGAGCAAGAGACTATTTTCTTGGATTGTGAAGGCCATTTTGAGCCCGATGAAGCAGCACAATTTATGCACATAGTTTGTGCCAATAAAGTCAGCATTTGGCGGAGTAATAATGTCAACTTCTCCCCTTTGGTTGTGTACATCAAAATTGAGGCAAGCACATACACTTTGGTGTGGATTTCTAACTTTGGATATGAGTGTGGCAAAGATTGATTGTTCAGCTCTTTTTAAATCAACGTGCCGATTTAAAGCACGTCAGTCAGAAAGTTGTTTTAATTGTAAGCTAATGGACTTAACTTTCCAGGTTGATAATCATCCACACGTTTTCTATTATGCAGACCCAAAAGAGTACTTCCAAAGCCTTTCTGTAGGTGGTATTAGTTTCCACCCATCTTTGTTCCAAACTCCTCTTGGGATAGCTACCAAGTCATATAAGACACCTCATTCATTCCCTTTGATCGTTGCCAAAGTAGAATTGCCCTCTTCTTTTTCACTGTATTTCTGGATTAGAACTGGGCAGAAATGTAACAGACTCCTTGGCAGGTTAGTCTTTCATCTCACACAGTCAATAGGTTCAGAGTGTTGGGTGGTGTATACAGGTAAATGAAAACACAAGTTATGTCCATATTATGATGCTGCACTATAGGCTTGTGGCTAGTACAGCAACATGCATAATTATAATACGATGAGAATAAACACAAATACACCCACACACACACCTCACATGCACTCGTGCACGAACACATGCACGCACACACATCAACAAACAAAAACACAAACACATACAGAGTCCTTGAGAAGAAATGCACCAGCTACGGAGCTGGAGCTGAGGGGGAAACACCACCTAAGAGGGAGAGGTAGAAGGGAGATTTGCTGAAAACTGCAAAACACACATTAAAGTATATACCTCCATATGTTTGAGTAATTTTCTCAGCAAGTGCAGCGTTATTCCCTCCTGTACGCTTCTCTACTGCACTAGCCAGTAGCTCCCATGACGGCTCTCCAAATCTTTTAGTGTTGTAATTTTTATTCAGCCACAGAGTCAGCATTTCAATCAGACAGTCATCAAGATCTCTGTTCTCTTTCTCTATCTTCTTTAGTTCGCTAGGATTCAGTCTGAGGGCCAGTCCAATGTGTTTCCATCTGTCAGTTACTGGCTCCAACTCACTCTGCACATCAACCAAGTTGTCTATGCCTATATAATGAAAGCAGTGAGTATATATGAAAAATAAAATAAATAATAACTAACCAAGAATTGTTGTGTTTGTTTGGGATATAGTTTCTCCACCACAAGGCTGTGGAAGTGGTGCCGGAGCTGCAAAACCAAGGGATAGAGAGATGTATCCAGAGCTAAAAATGTGCAATCAATGATTGAAGTGTGTCGTCACCTCTCCCTTCCCACAGTGTATCAGAGAGTTGGAGGGAGTGGTGAGATGGAGTCCTCCCTCCTCCCTCTAGCCTGCCCTCCTCACCAACCTCACGGCGACCTACGACCTCGAGTCTAGCTCCGCCCACTCCAAGAAACTCTCCTTCCTCCCTCTCTTGGGACAACATGTGGGGGAGGGGTTTCCCCTCTCCTCTCGCGGTCCTAGATGAGACTGGACGTGAATCAGTGTAGTGTGTGTTTGTGTAGCACAGATGTTGCACCGGCTAGGTCCCACTCGCCAATAAATGTATATACACTCTTTAGCTGTATATCACTTCTTTTTAAAAGAGGCTGAAGAGCGTGTCACTCTCGTCGGATGTTCCACTGTACTGCTGACACACCTTTTTGGAGTAGGTTCATTAGGAGGTTGTGTTACTCTCTTTCGTTTCCGACCTCCCTCAGACTGCAGTAGGGAGGCTGAAGGGATAGAATGAAGAAGAGAAGAGTTCGGAGTGTGTCTGCATACCTGTATCTCTCTCACTCCCTGTGTCCTTCATCTCAGACTGTGTCCCTATTGGTCTGGGAGTGGGAGACTTAGTCTCAAGACCTGCATAAGTACAGTAAGATGCAAATAATAATGGTTACAATGACCTATTTCATTGTGTCACTTACCCTGACTGAGACTTGTGCGTATTTGTTTCCGTGTTGATGAGGGTGACTCAGTGTCACTGCCAGCAGATCTTTTTAAACCTGATGCTCCCCTCTCTGAAAACAGCAGTATAATTATACTAAAAACAATCTTCTTGAGGATGTGCGCTGTGTGGGCATACTTGTATCATCCTCACTGACTGATTCGTCTGCATTCCCAATGATCTGGTGAGAAGGGTGAGCTTGTGACCGAGCTGGAATAAAGAAGATGGTTAGGTGGCATGTACGATGTGCTATCAACTGCACATACCTGGTGAGGAAAATCCAAAGCGTTGCTCAATATCTCTGGCTAGAGGGTTCAGCTGGACATCTCTGAAACACTGGGCCAGTTTCTTCCATGAGTGATCCTCATTTTCTTGTATCCATCTTTCATATATCATCCGGACAGCCTCAACTGGATTACCTAGTGCAGTTTGTTGTATACTCGGGACTATTGCCCCAGTGTCATCTTTCAGAAGGATGGTTCCAATGTCTCGGTACTTCATTGCACTTCTTTCCAAGATCCTTATGCGTCGCCCTTTAGAAGTTGATAGCTTCATCAGGTCTCCCATGGCAACGTTTCCTGCAATAACACAAAGGTGTATCCTGGCTACAATACACTGCAATATCGAGTGATAAAAATGCCGGATCAAAATTAATGTTAGTGGCACCTGAAACTTTGCCACTGCTCTTTGTATTACTTGAGTCAGACTCCTGCCTCTCTGATGTTTCAGCTGGAATGGATGACAGACTGACTTCACCTATAAGAAAACAGTCTTAGGTTTAGGTTTAGTATAAGAGGAGCAAAGGACTGCTTTCAATACGAGTTATGAAAGTAACCTGTCAGGTTGAGTGACAGTGGAAAATGGAGATTGAACTGACCAATGTCTGCTTTTTGGGTACGATCCTGAATAACAAGTTGGGGTTGCGGTACCTCTGGTCCTGCAAACACGATAGGTAAGAATCTTCACATGTACAAAACACACTGGGTTACCTGGTCCACCAAGCCACACAGTCTGACGTGGAGAGAGATCAGAAGATATATCTGTATCCTCATCACATATCCAGTACTTCATTGTGTCTGAGATGTGGGCCACATGTAGCTCTGTGCTACTAACTACATTCTGGTGAGCTGGGCAGACAAATGCAGGCTCTGGGGAAGTGTCTGCATGATGGTGAGTGTTGCGTAGACCTGCTTTGACCGCATCAAACACCTCGGACTTGATAGCCTTGCAGTGTCTGACTAAATTTTCACCACTTATCTTTCTGATATCAACGTTTACACAGACGGCAAAGAATGAGAAGTTGTCAATTAATGTTACTGAGCCAAGCCTGCCTCGCTTTGTGAACGTGATAGAATTACGTGAGATATAGTTGACTGGTGTTTCTTCTGATGCTTCGGTGTTGTCACGTTTTGTTGGCTTTTTGATTTCCCAGCCAGCCTGTGTCTGCAGGTGGCACACACTGCAGCAGAAGACACCAGGAGGAGCCCAGCCAGTGGGGAACTCCACCACCAGTGGCGATATTCCTGAAGCGGCGGTGAGACAGTCTATTATTTGAGATTCTCTGGTGCAATTCAGAATTGCAGGAAAAAAGTATTTGGTGTTTGACAATTTTGAAACAATGAGCAGCTTTTCAAGTAGAGTTATAAAGTGGTTTGCGGTGAATATTCCATTCACATAGTGCTTTTTAAACTCCTTTAGAAACTCGACAGTAAGAATTCCTTTGTCTCTGAATGCCTTGCAGCCACTTGTTGCTACATCCATAGCTTTTGCTGGGGCTTTCTCGGCCACTTTCAAGCAATACTGTTTTTCAACAAGAGCCGACAACTTATCCAAAGGCACTTGAGCGTCAGTGAATATTAAATCAGGGAGAATCTTTTTCTTGTACAGAAAAATGTTCAGTTTGTCAAGAAAGGATAGTGCCGCTTCAAGTTCTCCTTCAGTAAACCCCAGAATATTTGAGACGTGGGCACATTCTTTTTTGGTGAGGACCTTTCTGTTCAATTTTTCTGCCAAGGCTTCAAGAATTCTCTGGAGAATAAACCACCAGATTGGTATCTTGTGGTCGGTGGCAACTTTGTGGATGCTCATTCTAATCTTGCCGGCCACTTTTTCATCTTCGTCATTTGGGGTTTTCGTATTCATCTGGAATAAAACATCATCCATACCTTCATTGCGATAAACCACGTGATCGTCAAAATGTGGTGATGCAATTTTTTGTCAATATATTATTTTTATCTCCTGGTTTTTCACC